GAGGGAAGGCGGGAGCGTCTTGGCTAGACATTTCGGCTGGAGCGTGGCTGCTCCCACTGCAGGGTCTGTCCTCTGACCTGCTATTTGGGGTTGTGATGTGGGGGGGCGAGGGGTTTTGGTCCGCAAGCAGGGCTGGAATGAGAGAGGGATGGGCTGGTGGAAGCTCAGCCCCTTCTTTTCCCCCTTTAAACTGTCCTTGAAGTCAAAACCTGCCGGAGTGAGGCTGGGGCTGTCCCCGGGCAGCCGGGCTGGAGCGGGGAGCTCCCGGCCTGCCCTCCTGCTGGCTGCCCACAGCTGCGCAACTGGGGCAAAAACCAAAAAGGCAGAGAAGCAGGCAAACCTCCGAGGTTTTGGGAGGATGGTGGCTTGGCGTGTACCACTGTTCAGGAGCAAATGGGGCAGTGAGTCAGGGGGCTGGCTGGAAACGCTGCTCTCATCCCCTGCCGTCATCCGCGGGGGTGTGGGAAACGCATGATTTGGGGGATTAGAGTGGAGGGAGCCTCGCGTTTCGCTGAGTATGTTGGATCAGTCGAGGAGTGGAGGCTTGAGCATGGGTTCAAGCCAGGGCTCGGACACGGGGTGGGCTCACCATCACCGGGACCAGTGAATTGTCGGCACCATCCCAGCATAGGTTTTGCCCGGGATGGAGCAGCGTGGTCACAGGCTGCTCAGGGGTGGGCATGGTCCCTGCCGTGTCTCCTGCCATGGGATAGGGCAACACGCGTCATCCCGAAACCAGTGCTGGCACGTCCATGCTGTGCCGCAGATCTGGTGGGGCAGAGAAAGGGGGTTGTGAAAATGGGTTGGGTTTGGCACTGGCCAAATGGGTCGGTGGCTCAGCCATGGTGGGTTTCCAGTCCTCTTTGGCTGCGTATTTATTTTAGATGGGGAAACTCAAGCCTCCAGCAAGAGGGTTTGCAGACCCGGCTGGGTTACAGCATCACGTGTGGCCTGAAAGGACATCCCCACCCCGAATGTGTCACTGCTTTTTGGGGCCAGGTGTGACGTGTGCACAGAGGAGCCGGGCAGGGCTGAGGGGCTCAAACTGGGGGGGTCACGCAGCGAGGTGATGCTCAGCACCTGGTGCAGGGTGGGTAGGCTGTCCATCTGTCTGTCTGTCCTGCCTAGGAAACAGTTAACGCGGCGCAAGTCTGCCTGTGGAGGAAGTAGTTAATATTCATAGCGAGGAGCTGTCTGTCCGGCTGTCCTCCCTCTGAGGCTCTGGCTCTCACCCTCCCTGCACCTCGCTGGGGCAGACCCAGGCTTGGGCGGCCCCCAGCTGCCTTCCCACCGCCTCTCCCCTTCCTCTCCTGCTTGTCCCTGTGTGGTCTGGGGCGGAGGGGAGCACAACCGCACCTCCTCACCTCCAGCCCATCTCCTGCCTCTGCTGCCTTCATCTCCTCCGGTGCCCCGGTTCCTGGGGTACCCCGTATCCGAGCACCTCCGGCACCCCACTGCTGTTGGGGTGCCCCTCTTGCTGGCCCCGTGGGACATGGTGCTGGGGAGGGAATAGCTCCCTCTGAGAGAGGGAAAGCAAAGCCAAAGGGACAAACGCCAAGCAAAGCCAGCTCCGGGCTGTCAGCTCCTGTCCTGGACGGACACACGGAGACGGCTGCGGACGCCGTTTGAGCTGCCACAGCACCAGGTCCCCCCTGGAAGGCTCTGGTGCTGGAAGGGCGAAGGAAAGGGATTTTGCTGCCCGCTCCTTCTCTTCACCTGGGATCTTTTCTTCCCTGTCCCCTTTGGTAAGTCCTGACTTTGCTTTTCTTTGAGCTGGATGGGATGGGGGAAAGGGCTGGGGGTGGGTGGGGAATTCATGGCCGTGGTGACCCATGGCTCAGGGGCTAGGGTTACTTCTTGCCATCATATCTGGGCACAGGATGAAACCAGAGCCGGGGGGCTCTTTGTCATGGGACTCAGCCTGCATTCTTCATCCTACAAACGGTCCCGGGACCCCAGGATCTTCCCTGCTGGCTGATGCTCCAGAGATGCCCTGGGGTGAGGGGCTCTGGGCAGTGGGAAGTGGAGGGTGCAGGGGGGATACTGCTGGGGGCAAGACCGGGGGGGGCCATGGTGGGGCCCCAGCCGCATCCTGGTCCCCCAGCCGTATCTGGTGCAGAACTGGTGCAGAACCCCGGCGAGGATTTGTGCTGGTGCACGATGCTGTATGGTGCACCCCACTGTGTGTGAGGCACATGGCTGGGATTTTGGGGATGTGAGTTGACTCCCCTTCATGCCCTGGACCAGTTATTCTCCTGGGCATAGCTGTGGGATGCTGGGGAGGGAGGGGGCAGAATGTTGCCCTGGCAGCAGGGGTAGGACCCGGCTGGGCTCAGTGCTTCCCCCAGCTGCCTCGATACAGCCGGAGCAGATAGAGCCAGAGCAGAGCTGTGTCTGGGGCTGAGCCCTGGGCAAACCCAGCCCGCGCTGGGATGGCACAGGCTGCCAGGCGGGAGCTGCTCTGACCTTCAGGGACAAAATCTGACCTTGCTGGGAGCTGCAAACACTTTGCAAATGGGAACGTGGGAGCCTGCTGCTCTGCTGAAGTCTGATTTGGCTACGGCAGCCTGTCCCCCCTTCCCTTGCTCTTTTTTGGGGGATTTTCTTCAACTTCTCGGATGACAAGTGATAGCATGGCTGGGGTCGTGGAAGTGGCAGGGAATAGCAGGATTTGGCTCTTTGCATCTGAGTCCAGGGGTCGTGTGGGGACAAGGTCAGGGTGGGCAGTCAAGTGCGGGGCAGAGCAGCCAGGAGCACCAAACCCCTCATGTTCTCGACTGGCCAGAGGGTCTGGGGAAGGTGGGACAGGGCGCCTGAGGCTTTATGGTTCTGCCACAGACTGCGTCGTGCCCCATCCCAATCCTGCTTTCGAGACGTTTCTCTCAGCCGTGGGGTGCTGCCCAGCCCACAGTCTAATTAAAGCCTTTCCCAGCTATTTTCTCCCTTGGCGCCACGTGCTTTCATTTATATTTATTTATTCCCTTTTCCTTTCTATTCCCCTGCCCTATTTATCCCAACCCCCACGCTGGCTCTTGCCCGGTTTCCTGGGACTGGCCAGCACCCATCGCTGCCATCAGACGGGAGGGAGGGCTGGGTGACGGCCCGGCTCCAGGCGACACCTCAGCCTTTCCAGCGTTGATGCTGCCCCTGGACACGTTACTTTTTCCTTTCTTCCTCCACGGGAAGAGATTCCCTCCTTCTCTCTTCCTTTTCCCTGGTACGGGAGGTGTTGTGGAGTCAAATGCTGCTGGTTCCTGGCTACACCGGCTGGATGAAGGAGCTCTGAGTCTCCAGGAGAAATCGTGGATCCCATCCTCATCCTTTCCTGCACCGAGTGCCTGGGGAGGACCTCGCTGCATGGTCCTGGGGAATCTTCAAGCCAAGGGGGGGCTTTGGGGCTCGGCTGCCTCCTTGGGATGCTGCTGGCAGGGATTCAGGAGTGGAAAATCAGCAGCGAGGAGGGGGCCCAGACTTGGTAGGACACATGCTGGGTCTTATTGCCCCCCTCCGCTTTACGGCGAGGGGGGGTCGGTGGCGCAGGAGCTGTCGGGGCCTGGGTGCTGCGGCATGGGACTGGTTAAGCCCTCCCCAGCTCAGGGCTGGCTTTCGGAAGTGTTTTGCTTGCAGATAGGAGCGCTCTGATTTCACACTATCGCGTTAGGGCCGTCTTCCGTCCCTGAGTCAGCCGCCTGGCCCCCCGCCAGGGAAGAGTCATTTTTTCCTCCAAAAGAAAGTGTTTAACGCTGCTCGCAGGCCCTTCCAGGAAACCTCGGCGGGGAGCTGGAAAAACAGGAGTCTGCAGCCCGGCTGGTGCCGCGCACGCTCCGGCAGGGGGGACACAGCTTGGGGGCTGTCCCCATTGCTGACTTGGTGGCCGGGGTCCCTCTGTGCCCACAAAATCTGGCTGGCAAGCTTGGAAAGGTTTAAAGGGTGAAGCTGGTTGTAGTGTTGGGGCTGCTGGGGGTGGTGGGAGCTGGGAGTCTTGGAGCTGGGGTGCAAGGTTGCCAGTGGTGACGCTGCCATTCCCTGGATGCCCCCCAGCCTTTTGGAGCTGCGGAGCGGAGCTGGCTGCTCGCACCAGCCTCGAATCACAGGGTTGGGGCACTCAGTGCCTCCCTGGGGAGGAGATGCTGCATGTTTGGGGTTGGGCAGAGGCGTTGCCTGTGTGGGAGATTTGGGGCAGCGTCCGGCAGTGAGGAAAGGTCCAGGGCAGATCCACCCAGGCTGAGAGAGGGAAGGGAAAGGAGAGAAAGGGTGGGAGCCTGTCTGTAGCCAGGGAAGAAAATGTCAAGGATGGGCAGCTGACTGGATCCGTGCATCATCTGGGAGGAGAGCAGGCAGGGAGGGGGAAGGTGGGTCATCCGTCCTTCACCCGTGGGCTGCGTATGTCCATCCAGCTGGAGACATGCAGAGCTACAAGGCCAGATCCTGACTGCCTCCGCCTGTCCTCCTGTGGCCCGTGATGCATCTCCCTCACCCTCCCTGTTTGCCTCCCCGGTGCCCTGTGGCCCTTTGGGGCCAGCTGAGCCCTGTGGAGGAGCGGGAGGTGGGGAAGTGATGGCCAGCCGTGTGGGCAGCCCCAGCCCTCACCAGCCATGGAGGGGAATTTCCAGGAATGATGCCTGGACCTGGGGGCAGATTTTGGTGGATCCTAGTGGAGCAGGCGGTGCTTGCAGGGCAGGGCAGGATGGTGCACAGAGTGGGGGGCTGTGGGAGCACGGGGCTTGGGGTGGGTCTGGCTCCGGTGTCTCTGCATGGTGGCGCCCGTGGGATTGCGGAGGGTGCCGAGGAGACGGCGATGCTGGTCGTTAAGCGTTCCGGCGGCACGGAAGAGATCGAAACCACCGGCTAATGGGACCCATTAGCTCCGTGCAGACAGCCAGCAATTGATCTGGGGTCTCGTGTTCGTTTCTCCCCTTGCAGAGGTTGGGCACACGCAAGGGCCCCTGGACGGGAGCCTCTACGCTAAAGTGAAGAAGAAAGACTCCCTCCCCTGCAGCACCGGCGCTGTCAACG